TCTGCCCTTAAGCAAAGAAATATTATGTCACGCAGACACGGAGCTGGCCGGGGCCTTCGTGCCCTTTGTCAGGTATTTCCTTAAAGTGGTAAGTAGTAAAGATTTTGGCAATGCTTGATGCTGTCCATCGTGGCTATAGCCTGCCTCCCCCAGCCCACCCCAACCCCATCCAGAGCAACCAGGGCAGAATGTTCTTAGTTCAGCAAATATCTTCCCCTAGGACAGTCTGGGCCAGGGCTAGGACAAGAGTGATGGTTAAAAAAAAAAAAAAGCTAAACAAATCAGAACTCAAAGCCAGCAGTCATGCCTGGGGGAGAGTTCATCAGCCCTGTGATGGGTCAGAGGCCAAGGCCAACCAGAATGATGACCCTCCACCCCACGGGATCGAGGTCTCTTAGGTTCTCAGAGGAGCCATAGACCACGCCCATCCTGGAATTCCCTAGGAGCCCGCACCTCCTACACAAGGATGTCTGGGCCAAACTCCTAAAGTTTTCCTGAACATTCCCAAGTGGCTCCACATTCTCAGACACGGGTTGCTCATGGGATGTAAAACCCAGCGGCTCCCGGTGGGGGGAGGGGAGCACACTGCCCGGAATCCCTGCCCAGAGGCAGCACATTCTGTGCACTCCCTGGTTTGGCAATCCTTCTCTCTCCCCGGGCACGTCACGATGCTCACTGTTTTCTCCTCCTTGGAAAAAACTACGTGACCTCAGTTAACGTCTGCAAGTCGCGCAGCTCTAGATAAGCAAAGCCTGTTATTAGCAGCTCTGTGATTTTTTTTCCCACTGAGGCCTCTCCCAGCTATTTTTGGGCCGGGTTGCCCAGCCATCCCAGTCTCAAGGGCAGAGATCGGTATTGCAAACTTTTGAATTCTGTTCCAAAGGGTAAGGAAAGGCAGGCAGGCTCCGGTGGTGGTGTCCCACGGCCAAGGGAGTGGGGTGGGAGAGATTCCATGGAGATCTGGAGAAGGAGCTGAGATGGAAACTTGGCAGCCAGACCCAGCTTCCCTGGCTGCTGGCCCACCCTCATTGCTCCTGGATGGCACTGCCCGTGTTCTGGAAGGCTCCGGGGCAGGTGGGAGTCAGACTGATAGCTGCCAGGATGGAACAGGCTAATCTGTGAGTGATCTTCAGACCTGGAGAAGACACGCCCCCTCGAAGGAGGAGTCCCCTCAGAACTCCACGCCAAGTTGGGCAGTAAGGGATAGAAAAATACAGTCGCCGTCTTTCTTTTGCCTTTTATATGCCTCCTGACTCTAATCAAGCCACTTAATGCCCCATGCCTCAGTTTCTCCATCTCTCAATGCTTACTCTCGTTTCCTAGCACTTTCAGTTACCAAGAAAGAGTCCTAGACAGACCAGTCAGGTAAGACAATTTTACTTGATGCACAAAATAGGAGGCCCTCTGGTGGACGGCACAATTCTATGCCTTTCACCATGAATGAATAAGTAGACACATGAATGAACAATTAAAGTGAAGAATTTTTTAGTCTTTCATGCAGAGCCACAGAAATCAAAGAAGGAGAGAATTTCCAGGAGGTCGCGGTGAAGTCTCCTATGATGCAAAGAAGACAAGGACAATGAAAATTAAAGAAAAACCTGGTTGTACATGATTGCTGACTGGGAGGAGGGCAATTTCATGCCACAGCCTTCTGGGAAGGTAGTATCTATTCACCAGAAGATGCAAATCCCCTTTGACCTAGTCATCTTTCTTCCAGGAATTTATCCTGCAGATATACTTACAATTGGGCTCCAATAAGTAAATTCTGGGATATGCCCCCAAAGCATTGCTGTAATGCAGAAAGATCATTGATACCTAAAATGACATCTTTAAGGGCCTGGTAAAGTAAGTTACAGAATACCCATACAGCAGATAGCACGTGGTTCCTTAGAGAATGAAGCTGCTCGCTATGTAACGATATAGAACAGGCATTCATGTGAGGTGAAAAATTACAAACTTTATTGAAAAACATTAAAGAAGACCTCAGTAAATGGAAAGGCAAACCATGTTCTTGGGTAAAAGACTCATCACCATAAAAATTTCAATTCTCTCCCAATTAATCTCCATGTACAAAGCAATTCCATTCAAAATCCTAAAAAGCTGGGGTGGGCTGGATGTTGTGGGAGGGAGGGGGGAATTGTCCTTTAACATATAAATGCTTATTAAAAAGAGGCAATAATGAGGACAGTGGTATTGGAGCTACTATGAAAAATTACACCAGTACAACCTAATAGAAAGCCCCCCAAATAGACCCACGTATATATGGAAACTTGATCTATGACCAAACAGGCATTGCATATATATCAATGGGAAAAGGATTATTTTCTGAAAAACACCAATGAGATATTGGGGCATCTGTAGAAGAAGAAACAGAAGTGACCAAAATACATGATATACAACCTCTCAGTACTCAGACACTATCCCAGAGAAGATATTTAATGCCATAGTTGGCAGAATTAATAACCTGATAATATCTCTGGAGTGACTTGACCTCTCATCCACTGCCTAGTTTTATTTCTTGTTGTAAAAGTTATAATAGGCATATATATTGTTCAGGGATACATTGTGAAAGTGAAAGTCACTCAGTGGTGCCCGACTCTTCATGACCCAGGCCTGAATACTGAAGTGGGTAGCCATTCCCTTCACCAGGGGATCTTCCCAACCCAGGAACTGAAACCAGGTATCCCACATTGCAGATGGTTTCTTCACTGTCTGAGCCACAAGGGAAGTCCATGAGTACTGGAGTGGGAAGCCTATCCCTTCTGCAGTGGATCTTCCCAACTCGGGAATCGAACCAGGGTCTCCTGAGCCACAGGGAATCCCCAGAATACTGGAGTGGGTAGCCAATCCCTTCTCCAGGGGATCTTCCCGACCCAGGAATTGAACTGGGGTCTCCTGCATTGCAGGTGGATTCTTTACCAACTGAGCTATCAGGGAAGCCCCATATATATGTAGATATCTTAATAAATAAAAGATTTGAAGAATTTAAAGTAATAATAATATATATGATATATATGGTACTGGAGAAGACTTTTGAGAGTCTTTTGGACAGTAAGGAGATCAAACCATTCAATTCTAAAGGAAATCAACCTTGAATATTCATTGGAAGGATTGATGCTGAGGCTGAAGCTCCAATACTTTGGCCACCTGAGGCGAAGAGCCAACTCACTGGAAAATACCCTCATGCTGGGAAAGATTGAGGACAGGAGGAGAAGTAGGTGACAGACAATGAGATGGTTGGATTGCATCCCTGAAAAATCAATGGACATGAGTTTGAGCGAACTCTGGGAGATAGTGAGGGGCTTCCCATGTGGCTCAGTGGTAAAGAATCTGCCTGCTAATGCAGGAGACTCAAGAGACGCAGGTTCAATCCCTGAGTCAGGAAGATCCCCTGGAGGAGGAAATGGCAACCCACTTCAATATTCTTGCCTGGAAAATACCATGGACAGAGGAGTCTGGTGGGCTGCAGTCCATGGGGTCGCAAAGACTTGAACAGAGCTGAGCACAGCACAGCCAGTCCAGGAGATAGTGAAGGACAGGGAGGCCAGGCGTGCTGCAGTCCTCAGCGGTAGCTGAGTTAGACACAACTTAGCGACTGAACAAACACAAATATGGTGTATGGCCAGGATTCAGTTTAGCATGATAGGAAACAAATGAATTCAAGAAGGGTCCCCCCACCCTAAAAAAAGGCAGAACCATGTTTAGCACATTTGCATTTTTAAAAAGGTAATTTAATGTATGTGTTTATGATCAGTCTGTGCGTCATAAAAAAGCTCCACAAAAAACTAGTAATAGTGATTGCCTCTGAGCAGGGAATGCCAAACAGGGTAGTGGGGGTTGGGGATTGTTTTTCACTGTGCGCCATTAATATAATTTGAATTTTTCCCTTGTGCATCTGTAAGCTCTGAAGAGACTCAGGGGTGTTTGCAGGCACCAAAAGACTGAATCAGGTGCAGATAGAGCGCTGAGGCACCCTCCTAGCCCAGCTCTTGGGTGAAGTGCCACTGCTATCAGGCTTTTTTCAGGATTTCTAAAACAGGCACATTGCAGGACTTGGGAATGTAGGGCCAGGATCCCTTTTAACACTTCCAAGAAAACAGTCTCGGGGTTGGGAAGGAGACTGGCAAAAACAGGATGAAATCGGAGACCCTCATTTGGGAGAGGGTTCGTTGATTGTAAATCAGTGGCAGGGAAACCTCCACCCCATTCCCAGGACACTACTGCCTGTAGCCCTGTGCCAGAACCTTTTCTTTGGAAACGATCAACATTCTGATGTGGCTGATTACAAGAGTCAAGGAGAGGGGCTCTCGGAAACTGAAAGTGTTAGTTGCTCAGTCATGTCCCACTCTTTGCGACCGCACGGACTGTAGCCCGCCAGACTCCTCTGTCCATGGGATTCTCCAGGCAAGAATACTGGAGTGGGTTGCCATGCCCGCCTCCAAGGGACCTTCCCGACCCAGGGATCGGACATGCATCTCCTAGGTCTTGTGCACTGGCAAGCAGGTTCTTCACCACTAGCGCCACCTGGGAAGCCCTAAAGAATAAGGAGTTGGGCGCCGGGGGGACGGAGGGGGATGGGAAGAATACTGGAGTGGGTTGCTATTTCCTTCTCCAGGGATCGATACAGGCGGATAGGGTTGCAGAAAGGGGCCCAAGCTTCCCTGCCTCCAGGCGAGGGATTCTACAATCTCAGCTGAAGGAATGATAACTCCTTCCTCATAGCCTTCATTCCACACACCCCCCCCCCCCCCCCCCCCCCCAACTTCCATTTAGGCCAAAGTTCCTGAATAACTGGCCGAAAAGGGCCTGCGGGTGGAGCACACTGCCCTCGGGGCCCCTCCCAGCGAGCGGCTCCTCCCCCTGAACCTGCTCGCTGAGCAGCAAAAAAAAAACCACAACTCCCAGAAGCCCGCCGTGGGCGTCGGCGCGCAGCCGCAGATACCCGCTCCGACCCCGCCGCGTCCCTCCTCCGACCCTGCAGGCTCCATCCCCCTTCTCCCTGAACGGGGCCCCCGCCCCCCTTGACTCGCTGACCAGGGTGGGACGCCTCCCTCTCCTCTGGCTTGTAAGATTCTTACCTCCTCTGACCTACGGGACACCTCCCCCCTCCGACTTAGGAGATACTCCCTCGTGTGACTGCAGGACCACCCCCTCTGACCTGGGGGACTCGTCCCACCTTCTGACTGGCGCGGCCCACCACCCCCTCTGACTGCAGGACTCCTGGCCCCTCGGACTAGGCTGGGACATCACCCCCTCTGAGCCTGGAGGATGCATTCCCTTCCTGAGGCTTAACTACCCTTGAGGACAACCCTCTCCTGCCCGCTGTGGTTTCATTACCAGCCTCTCTGACCTCTGCAAGGCTTCTCCTGACCAGTTAGGGAACCCCTCCCCTCTCTGACTGGCACTTTGTCACACCTGCAGCAGGTCAGCGTCCCCCACCCCAGCAGGCCTTCCTCTCCTTCCCCTCTTTCCTTTTGCGCCCAGACTGTCTGCCCTGCCCCCTCTTCCCCCTCACTTCCCCACCTTCTGGTCAGTATGGGCTCCATTCCTAGGACAGGCGCTTTGCCCATCCCTGTGGCTTGTTGTGACCCTTGCCCTCGCGTCCCTAGGCTTGGCAGGCCCCCTTCCGTTTGCCGCACACGTCTTTTTCCCAGGCACCTGAGGGGGGAGACAGGTGCCTCTTAGCACTCCAGCTCTGGTTCCTATGCCTGCCTCAGGGTATGTGCTTGACATCTTTTCCCACCCAATTCTGAGCAAATTGTAGATGTGGGAGCCCGCATCTGCTGAGGTCGAGTGAATCTTGCTGGCCTCTCTGTCTAAGGACCAGACCTTAACAAGAGCACGGGGTCTCCGGGGTCCATGAAAAGGAAGCGGGTGCTGCAGCCCTTTAGGAGCCCTGGGGTCTCTGGGCCTCGCCCTCCTCTCCCTTTGAGGAGCTTGATTGAGAAAAATCTTCCTGGGCTGGGCTGTGGGCCTTCCTCCAGCCCCCAGCCTCACCCTACAGGCCTGCCTACAGCCCAGCCTGAGCCTGTGGGCTCGGGAGGGCTCCTCCCAGAACAGCCAGCAAGCATCCTGCCCCTGGGGCGCCTCCCGGCCGGCCTCAATAAACCCTCTATTCGGGCTGAGAGGCACGCCGACCAGCCAGCCACTCCCTCGGCACTTGGTAGGGGTGTTCTGTCCTGAGAGCGTCTTTGGGAGAGGACTCAGGGCAGAGGCGTTGGTCAGGCGCTGTCCGCAGCCTCTGCAGTGGTCTGGGGCCAGGATTCTCTGTCTTCTCACCTTTTCTCATCCCAGTTAACCTGATCTCACAAGGCACTGTGACGTCACAGGGTGGTGGAGGAAATCCCCTTCAGGCAAGTATGATCCTTCCATTCCTTCTGTTAGCTGAGAGTCTGCTTTCTTCCCCCTAAAGATGTTACCCAAATGTAGTTCACCCCTTATTTTCATAGCCCACAGCAGTGATGTGTTTAAGCTGTCGATACTTGAGGGATTTCTTACCTGCCAGTCTGAATGCACCCTGCGCGTGTGCCCAGCCTCCCGGAGCCACAGAGGTGGGGAGGCGGGACCCAGGGTGCAGGAGGAGCGGCTGTTTCCGCCCCACTCCCTGAATGTGGCCTTTGAGGTGAGCACTTCGGGCTCCCACACACACACCCCTTTCATCTGAGTCTCGGGACTTCCCAGCAGCAACGTGGCGGTCCTCGTGGCAGCTGTGGAGGGTAGGTGGACACATGCTCTAGTGTGTTCTCCTTCAGAAACAGAGTACCTCAGATCTGGGAATGTGGTCTGGAGTCCTGAAATGGGTCTACACTGTGATAAGTCATTTCTCTATCGTTCAGATGATTGTGGAACGGTACCTAGGACATTGCGGGGAAAAAGATAGTGATGTTACTTTTCCCTTCAGTAACACTCTGGACTGTGGAGATTCCTGAAAAGATCTTTTTAAATGCCAACATTAGGGGAATCGAAAACTTTCATATTGATGTTTAACGACCTCTGTGTTGATTTCCTGTTTCACTAGACCAAGATGATCAATTAGAAAAAAAATAATCCTGATGATAGAGAAATCTGTTTGGGAAGGTGTTCAGTTTTCCCGTTTCTTTTGCTTTTTTTTTTTTTCTTTTTATCCTACTTGTTTTCCTGTAGTAGGTCCAGTCATTAAGTGGAACTCACAGCTTCAGGTTCTGAAGCAGAGCCCGACTTCCATTCGTGTTCAGCTGGAGGAACAATCCATGGGGAATGAGGCAGGAATAGGGCTCCATACAGCAGTGTGCAGATGGGGCCAGACCTGGTACAGTTATGGTTACTGACGGTGTGGGGGTGAGGGTGAGGTTGGAGCCCCCACAGGAGGGCTCCACGGGTTGAGTGGGTGCCAGGGATACCTGCCAGTGAGAAAAGTGCGGGGAGGAGATGTGCTCTCACACGTGCAGCTCCGCTGCCTGGGAGCAAGCCCCGACTCAAGTGGATCATGGGATGATTATGTCCTCGTATTTGTGGGCTCTCTGGGAAAACAGCCCCAGTGATGCATGGTTTTGTGTGCGGCACCTCACTTTAAACTGGAAAGATCACTTTTTGCCAAAAATCCTCCAAGTGTAGCTTTAATGATACAATTGAAGAACGTGCAGCCCTCCCATGATGGCAGTAACTGCAAACTGTGGATGATCCTGACACCCTGTGCCCACCCCGGAGACCCAGCCGTGTGCGAACGGCCCTGCCCCTTGGGAGAAGCTGGAGGTTCTTTCTCTGTCTCCCTCTTTGTGGTTGGCAGAATAATGCCCCCCGCCAAAGATGTCCACATCCTGACCCCCAGAATCTATAGATACATCACGTGCAAGGGGGTATTAAGGATTCCCTGGTGGCTCAGATGTAAAGAGTGCCTACAATGCGGGAGGCCTGGGTTTGATCTCGCGGTCAGGAAGATCCCCTGGAGAAGGAGATGGCAACCCACTCCAGTATTCTTGCCTGGAAAATCCATGGATGGAGGAGCCTGGCGGGCTACAGTTCATGGGGGTCTCAAAGAGTCAGACACGACTGAGCTACTTTACTTTCACAAGGGGATATTGAGGTAGCAGATGGAATTAAGGTTGTTAACCCACGACCTTAAAATAGGGAAACCATTCTGGGTTATCGAGCAATCACAGAGTCTTTAAACATGGAAGAGGGAGAGAGAACTTCAGAGGGAAGTGAAGGCAGAAAGGCAGAGCGAAACAGCGTTGTTGCTGGCTTTAAAGGTGGAGGAAGGGGCCGCAAGCCAAGAAACGTGGGCAGCCGTGAGAAACTGGGAAAGGCCAGCTCCTCAGGAAGGGACTCAGCCCTTGATTTTAGCCCAGTGAGACCCACGTCAGACTTCCGTCCTCCAAGACCATAGAGCGAGTTTGTGGTATGTAAGCTGCCGAGTCTGCGGTAATTTGTTAATAGCAGCAACAGAAAACAAACTCACTCCTCTTGGGTAGTGACCTTAAAGCAAGCCAGAGGGCTGAAAAATAGGTTACCTCGAGCTGTATGTAACCGGATTCAGCACACAGTTGTGAATGCCTGTATACAAAGTAAGAGGAGTTGGGGAAGGTGCAGACTCAGGCAGGGCCCAGAGTTTCAGCCCTGATCTCAGTATTCATTGGAAGGACTGGTGTTGAAGCTGAATCTCCAATACTTTGGCCACCTGATGCGAAGAGCTGACTCGTTTGAAAAGACCCTGATGCTGGGAAAGATTGAAGGCAGGAGGAGAAGGGGACAACGATGGGTGAGGTGGTTGGATGGCATCACCGACCCAATGGACATGAGTTTGAGTAAACTCCAGGAGCTGGTGATGGACAGGGAGGCCTGGTGTGCTGCAGTCCAAGGAGTCGCAAAGAGTCAGACTCGACTGAGCAACTGAACTGAAAAGGACATACTGGACTGCTGTGGACCTTTCCCTTCCTGGTTTCCTTCCACTGTCCACCCTGTCCACATTCGAAATGGCCTAAAATAGTACAAAGTAATAAGCCCTGGCAAGTCCGAAACAGAAGAATGCCTTGAATCAGGTCATATTTTCCAGAAGCTGAGACACACCGTCTGCATTCTTTGAGATGCTGTCTCGCTGGGGCTGTGAAACCCTTGGCGTCTAGTGATGTCAATGAGATGAGCTCTTGACTTTCTAACCAGGAAGTGCCCTTTGGCAGAGAGCAGAGCAGGAACTCTGAGGCCAGCCTGCCGTCTGGACAGGGCTCTCTAGGAGCGAGGCGGGGCCAGGAAGGCAGTTGCTCCCCAGGGAGGACAGTGGCTGCCCCCAGGGCGGCAGGGAGCAGGGAGGGGCCTCCTTATTGCCACACTGTGCTTCCTGCCTCCCTAAATCCTGAAGGGGGCTGGGGGACGGGTAGCCTTGGCAGCTGTCGTTGGACTTGTTTGCCCTGCCACCTGTCACACCCCTGTCCTGAAGGAATCTACAGAGAAAGGCTCCTGGCGGTGTCGGTGTCACCACCCACTTTCTTCTAAACCTTGGTAGAGTCTGGTGATGAAAGGCCCGTGGAAGTAGGGGTATCAGAGCCTGTCCTCCTTGACCGTAACCAGACCCCAGAGGGGTTGCTGCTCCTGGGGTGGGGAGGCAGCGTCCCCCTGGGTGTACAGCAAGAGGTTGGTGCCGCCTCCTTTGGATCTGGAGTCCATTGGCCAGTGGATAGTCACCAGCACCACACCTGGCTGTTTCCGGCCTGTCTTCTAAGGAAGTGCTGGTTCGACAGAAAGCAGAAATGCATGCGTGTCAATGAGCCATTCTTGACACCCGCCCCAAAGAGAGGGGACCCAGAAGGAAATCCGGACTCGCAACTCCTGGGTTGTTGTTGCCCCTTGACACCCAGGGATGTCTTTCCAGAGGTGTTGCAGTGGGACTGGCACAGGAGCAAGGAAGCCAGGAGGGGTGTGGCCCCCTAGGGTTTCTGAACAGGAGCAAGTGCAGGCATGCCCCCTGAACAGGTGAGCCTGGCCGGCCAAAGAGCTTGTGACTTTGACTGCAGCAACTTGATTCCAATTTCCTGGTTATATAAAATCAGCCTGGGACCTCCCTTGTGGTCCAGTGACTAAGGCTACGCGCTCCCAATGCAGGGGGCTCGGAGTCAATCCCTGATCCGGGAGCTAGCTCCCACGTGCTGCAACTCAGACCCAGTGCAGTCAAATAAATAAAAATAATTTTTTAAAAAATCGACCCATTACGATAGCAGGTAAAGAATCCGCCTACAACACAGGAGAGGAGACGTGGGTTTGATTCCTGGGTCAGGAAGATCCCCCGGAGAAGGAAATGGCAACCCACTCCAGTATTCTTGCCTGGAGAATCCCATGGACAGGGGAGCCTGGCGGGCTACAGTCCTTAAGGCCGCAGAGTCAGACACTGAGCGTGAGCTGCACGTGGTGGGGTTGACAGACGTCTTGTCACAGTAGGAGCAGACGTTTAACCTGCCTGGTGTTAGGAGGTGCGTGGGCAGGGGGCAGGCCCTTCTGGGAGCGGCTTTGTCTGTTCCACCTCTCACCTGCGCTGGCTTGTCTCTTAGTTTTCATGGATGGCAGGGTTTTGTTTTTGTTCTGTTTTTTGTTTTTGTTTTTAATGAAAATGCGAGCTCTCTCTTGGAGCCAGACCTCCAGCAACGAGACTTCAGGCAGCTCACCATCAGTTTTAGATGATAAGCCGGTGGGTCATAGCACGGCATGAAAACGAATCTGATCGGAAACTTTCTTTTTCTACAAAATAAAAATAATCCCTCGGGATGCCAAAGGAGGGATGGACACCAAGGTTGGGCTTTGATCCAGTGGTGAATCTGAAGGGGTTTTCTGGAAGGCAGCCCGAGTTCTCCGGTCACCGAAAGCAATCGAATGAGTGTTTATTTAACAAAACATGATCGAAGCCCAGGCTTCCTTTGGTTTTGGGAGCTAGCCTGACTGAGCAGAACCCCTGGGCTCCTGGGGTCAGACAGTGGGGAGGCTGAGACCGGGTTGCACCTAGAGAAATGGCAGAGCCCCGGCCCTGCAGGTGGCATCAGGTGCGTTGGTTTCTAGGCCTGGTCTCACATATCACCGCAAACTTCTTGGCTGAAAACAGCATATGTGCCCTCAATGTTCCGGAGGCCAGAAGCCAGTTGTCATTTCACTGGGCTGAAATGGTGTGGGCAAGGCCGCGCTCCCGCCGAAGGCACCAGGGGACAGTGCGTCCTCGGTTCCAGCTCCTCGGGGTCCCATGCATTTCTCGGCCGTGGTCACGTGGTCTTATCAGCCATCACATCCCCTGCCGCCTCCCTCCTGTGAGGACACGATCACACTACGGCCCACCTGGGTAATCTTGCCATCGCAAGGCCCTTGACTTGCTCTCATCTGCACAGTCCCTGTTGCCATAGAAGGGGACAGTCCCAGGTCCTGGGATCCAGCCAGGCTGCCTTTGGGTCCAATGTCAGCCCCTCACAGGAGGGAGGCTTATTGGAGGCGGGGCACTTCACACAGACGCAGGGCAGGAGGGGGATAGGACAGCCAGGAACTGCTAGGTGGGTCCATGTGGCCCAGTGGAGAAAGCATCCTGTGCAAGTGTTTGGCACACAGATCGTGGGATTACAGACAACGCGGTGCTGAGCTTGGGGAGCGTGTGCGAGGATGCGAGGCTTCGCCTGCAGGCTGAGGAGCTTATCCTTTGGCAGGGGCTGGTAAAGATTCACTTTTCAGGAAAGTCTCTGTCAGCTGTGTGGAGGATGGATTGGGAGGGTCTGTTTCTCTCAGGGAGCAGAGCGTGGGTATTCTCAGCTTTGCGGGCTGTCCAGTCCCTGCCTCTGGCCATGCCCGGTGCTCACAGGAGTGGGCTGGCCCCTGCACCAGCTTCGCCCGCAGAGCTGGGCCCCCCAGGCCCGAGCACAGGCGCTCGTAATGTGAGGAGGGAAGCGCTGGACGGCAGCGGGTGGTCAGGGCCAAGTCCCACATGGTGGCTGCAGCCCTGGGTCACGTGCACAGTTTACACGTGGGGAGACGGAGACCCGGAGGAGCGAGGTCACTTGTTTGAGGTCACGCGGCTGGTAACGGGCAGAACTCAGGTTGGCCCCAGAGGTCTGGGTCATCAGGAGGCCACGGTGAGACAAGAGCAGGGTAGAGGCTGGGGCGGGCGGTGCGGAATCGGGAGCTGGGGTGCGGACAGGTGAGGGGCCTGGCACCTGCCGGATGTGAGGGTATGAGCGATTTGGCTGCTGCTCAGGCTGGCGCCTGAGGGCTGGGAGCGCCCCAGGCCAGCAGTGCCTTCCTGGCGGGAACCTGCTTCAGGGGCGGGAGGCTCAGCAGCTGGGCTCCTGGCCTGGATTCCAGGGAGACATTCAGGCTGGGAGGGTGTGGATTCAGAAGGAGAAGCGGTGGGTGGGGAAGGAGCCCGCCTTGGGGGCCGAGAAGAGACACAGGGAGGAGGACCACAGACAGGTGGTCACTGGCGTCCCCGTTGCTGCTGGCAGGACCCCCTGTGGGCTGGGGTCTCAGGCTGGGCCCCAGGAGCAGGCCTGTCTGTGGGTGGGGAGTCTCTGGGGCCAGGGGTGGACCCTAGCTAGGATGGGAGAGAGAGCGCTCCTCCAGGATGGGGAGGGTGGGCTCTGCATCCATTCACAGAGGCACCCTTTCACAGCTACTGGTGTTTCTGCGGGTGTACCCCGGAGCTGGAACAGTGACCCGGATGGGAGATTGGACAAGTACAGACTGAGAAGGAGCCAGCAGAGCAGGTGTGGCTGACCTGACCCCGAGCAAGCAGGAGGTCATCCCCCGGAACAGGGCCGGGGGATGGGCGGGCTCCACTGGGCCCTAGCTGCTGGTGGCGTCCTCAGAGTCTGCTGGGAGCGAGTGAGGGGGGGGACACAGGGACAGCGACCCAGGAATGACTAGTCCACCAGGGGCCGTGAAGACACACATCACCATGGAGACACGTCTACGCTGGCAGGCACTCTGCCCACTGTGCCCGCAGCCCTGTGACAGCAGGCAGCTCGACCGGCCGGCCAGCTCCAGGGCCGGGGGTTTGCGCTTACCTAAGGTGGGGCCCAGGGGCAAGGAGCCTCAGCCGCTCAAGAAGTGGGTGTCCTTCTCATTCCTCCCGTGCGGTGTGCTGTGGGGTAGAGGGGCAGGGAGGCCCTTGTGAGGGGTGCGCGCAAGACCGTCAGTAGCCGGGGCAGGACGGCGAGCCCTGTCTGGAGGACGCGGGGTAGAAGGGTGGTCGGTTGGCAGGCAGAGGAGCCGGCTCACCGGGGACGGGTCGGGGTTGGCAGGGGTTGTGTAATTAGTGAGGGTTTGCTCCCAAAGCAGGAAATGACACGGCCAGAGGGACTGGCTCGAATAGCAGGTGTCGATGGCCGCAGGGCACCAGTGGGTGTCAGGGCGGGGGGTGGCAGCAGGAGGGCGCCTGCGTGGTTCCCGTGAGAAGGGGCCGTGGGAGCCGATGGAGGGGAGGCAGGCGGCCGGGTCGCTGGGGCTGACGGAGCAGACGCTGCAGACAGAGGGGGATCGGGGCCACACCTGGGCTTTTCAAGGTGGTGGTGGCTCATAACTTTCAGTTGAAGTGTATTCACACAGAAAGTTGTGTCTCCCAGGGTTTCGATGGAAGTTTTGACCAGGGCAGCTGCGACAATGGCCATCCGCCATCGCCGCCTCGATTCCTGGGGAAAGAATTTCAGGCAAATGTGTGTCAGAAATCCAGGCAGAATTTTGACCAGGAGGTGAGATGCAGGAACGGAGAGCTCAGTGGCAGCAGAAGGCTGGACGTGAACAGCGGGCAGCTTTGGCCTGGCCATGCTTTTGAAGCCGTGTTTGGCGAGACCAGAGGAGGGGCCAGGACTCCTGCTTACCCCGCGAGGTCCCCAGCAACCCGCTTGCATCTCCGTGGCAAATTGGGGCACTGCTTCCTGGAGGCAGGAGGGGAGTCAGGGGCTCATGCCCAGGGGAGGAGAAGAGGACTCTGAGGCCATTCTGCAGAGCCCCACATGTCTTACCTGCTCCTTAGAAGTCCCTTTTCTGTACTTGACCCTGTGGCCAGAACCTAAGAATCTGTCCAGTAAGCAAGGGGATGGGAGGCCTGTTTCCCATGTGGGCCTGTTGCCTTGATTTTCCATCTCAGGAGCCAGACCACATGGTCTGCCTTGGGGGGGGGGGGGGGGGCGGGCAGTTCACAGAACTGCCAAGGCCCCGTGTGAGTCCCCATGCCCTTCCCAGCTGCCACCTGGCGGAGCGAGGAGCATCTACACACAGGGTCAACCATTAGTTGTTTTGGGGCCAAGGCAGATATCCTCCGTGGCCCAAGGGACGTTTCTCAGGCTGAGACATGCCAAGTTACAGCTGAAGGTCAAGACTGAGAGCAGTCTTGTGTTCTACGGGCCAGTGTTCTGCTGCTTCTGCCCCTGGTGCTTCCATGATCTGTGCTGGGGACAAGAGCCACTGTTCCTGGCTGCCACCACCAGCCCCGGAGCTCAGCCTCCAGCTGCACCTGGGGAGCAGGCCGGGCCAAGCCACGCTGTCCTTGGAGCTGATGGGCTGACAGGCGGGGCTCCAGGGATGAGGACGCGTCAACCTCTGTCCCCTCAGCCTTTTGCTTTACAGAAAGGCACCAGGGGACGGATGTTGCCAAAACCTGCACTGTTTCTGTCTGGCTTGATTGTGTTCCATACTTGATTTGAATGGGTTTCCCAGATGGCTCCGCGTGTAAAGGATCCCTCTGCAATTCAGGAGACACAGGAGGTGCAGGTTCAATCCCTGGGTTGGGAATATCACCTGGAGGAGGAAAGGGTGTCCCACTCCAGTATTCTTGCCTGAAAAGTCCCGTGGACAGAGGAGCCCGACAGGCTCCACTGGGTCACAGAAAGTCAGACATGACTGAGCAGCTAAGCACAGCACACTTCTGTTAGGCTGATTGTGTTTTATGCTTTATTTGAATATCACAGAAACGTAACCCAGGAGGAAGTAAAAACTCCCTCACTCAGCATGCGTCTGTTCTGTGCACTGTTCCAGTAGCTGGGGGCACAGATTAATAAACCGTGACATGAGGTCCGGTGGGGAAGGGGCTGGAGGCCGCCATCGGGAGCAGAGCCATCAGAGAGGGCTTCCTGGCTTAGGTGACCTTTGCTTAAAGTGTGGACCTGTACTCTGTCTGATAGCTTGTCCTGCCCAACGCCCTCCCCCCTCACAGCTCCTCCCCACCTCCCCGCCTGCCACGTGCCCTCTTTCCCAAGATTGCAAAGCACCAGCTTACGCGGAACTTTCTCTCACTGAGCTTTCTGTCTTGCCAGCTGGGACAGAGGACATGGAATGATTTTGCTTTGGAAAGACTTTTCTTCCTGCTGAATAAGAGTAAACAAAGATACTGCTAGAGTCAGGGTTTACTTAAGCCAAGGGAGCAGTCATGGCGGAGTCGTGGCCACGCCGGTCACCCTGGACAAGGCCGCCTTGGGCTGTGCGCCCGCTCGTACGCAGGGCGCTGTGCCTGGCAGGTCGTGACCGCTCTCCTCTGCCCTGCACTGCAGGTCCCGCCTGCCCTTCAGTCTGATGCCCGTCCAGCTCTCCAGCCCCCCGGAATGGAATGAGTCTATGCACTCTCTCCGGATCAGCGTGGGGGGCCTTCCCGTGCTGGCGTCCATGACCAAGGCCGCGGACCCCCGCTTCCGCCCCCGCTGGAGGGTGATCTTGCCGTCCTTCGTGGGCGCTGCCGTCCTCTGGCTGCTGTACGCCCACCGCCCTCCTCCTGGCCGGCCCCCCCTGCCCAATGCCCACAACTGGAGGCTCGGCCAGCTGCCTGCTGCCCGGTACAATGACACCTACCCGCTGTCTGTCCCCCAGAGGACAACGGGCGGGACGCGATACCGGATCGCCGTTATCGCCGACCTGGACACAAAGTCCAGGGCCCAGGAGGAGAACACCTGGGTCAGTTACCTGAAGAAGGGTCACCTGACCCTGTCAGACAGCGGGGACCAGGTGGCTGTGGAATGGGACCAAGGCCATGAGGTCTTGGAGTCCCACCTGGCGGAAAAGGGGCGGGGCATGGAGCTGTCAGATCTGATCGTCTTCAATGGGAAGCTCTACTCAGTGGACGACCGGACAGGCGTGGTCTACCAGATCGACGGCTCCAGGGCCGTGCCCTGGGTCATCCTGTCCGACGGTGACGGCACTGTGGGGAAAGGTAGGTCGGCCGTCTGTCCCCGGGCTTGCTGCGGTGCTGGAGGACAGGCCAACCGGCTGGTTCTCAACCTGTGCGCAGTGAAGCAGTCACAGGTCCAGAGGGAGGGGACATCGGGGAGATCTTGTCTCCCTCACCTCTGACCTGCGGCCCCCACAGCCTGAGCAGAGTCCTGGAGACCTCCTGGACTCTGCCACGTCCAGGAGTGTGAGCTTCTGCTGGGGGCTGGCGGGGAAGCGGGGTCTCTCCCAGAGGAGCGCTGGGCCCTGCCCTCGGGGACAGCCCCTTTCTGCGTCCTCAACCGTTATCAGTGTCTGGAGTGCATGCTGGGACTGCGCCCTCCATGTGCCTCAGCTTTAAAGCTAGGGCATCAGGTTTGCTCTTTCTGAACTGAGACTTTGTTAAAAAGCAGACTGTTCCTTTCTGAAAACCCAGCAGGGGGAGGGTCTGAGTGTGAGCAACTGTGCCCCCAACCCCGACCTGTAGTGGAATCCGACCTCTGGCATCGGCTGTGCCCCACGCCGGCCGGCGAGTAGCAGAGCTGTGGGAGGGTGCCTGCGTGCCCAGACCTTCACGTGGGGCAGCGGGAGAGTTGACAGCGGCTTCCGTGCATGTGGCTGGATCTGCACCTGCTGGAAAGCCAGGCTCCACTGGGGCACCTGGGGTCGAAGGAGGAATTGCATTAATTCACTGGGCCCTGGGCTGGCTGCCAGGCCCCCCTTCCCTCGAAGTGATAAAAATCTGTCCCGACTTTGCCCGCGGCTGGGCAGGTTGAAAGGACTCTGTCTCAGCCACCGTTCTATTGAAAACTTCGGTTGCCCGCTTCCTGCCTCAGGCCGGCTGCGCATGTCCAGCACCATCCAGCAGTTCTGCTTGCCCCTCGGATCTGGAGGATAGCAGGATAGAGGGAGCTTGGGGTTGCCTGGTGGTTGGTCACCTGGAGGGAACCACAGGAAGTCAGTGGGGCCCCCAGAGCCACCTGCAGAGAAGCATCCCGGGGTGAGGGTTGTTGCCACAGCTCCTTGGGCCAGCCGGAAGTTTGCAGAACATTTGGGAACAAGCACAGATTAGAACATGGTGTAGGAACAGGTGAGAATACGCTAGAACAAAGTGCCCACACAGCCTTCAAAACTAGGCTCATGGTAAGTAAATCCATCTAAGAAACACACTGATTGGCGTGGCTGCTGTGAGCATCTGTGCTGAGCCCCACTCAGCTCTGGCTGCTGGCACAAAAATCCCTCGGGGGTGTGGCTGTGTGGTCAGCACTTTCTGCACTTTCCCAGGGTCGGGCGTAGTCTGAGGTGAGGCTGACATGACAGCTGGAGAAACGGGGAGGTTGGGGTCTGCAGACACTGAGTGGAGGGCCACTTTTCTGGCCGGGGGGAGGACTAGGCCACTCCACTGGCGGGTTCACGTGGGTTACATGGGGTCCAGCAGGGTTCCTGGGGTGAGTTTGGGAGGAAGATGCTGGAGGGCAGGGAGAGAGGAGACAGAAGGCAGAGGTGGTGCCCGTCTGCCCCACGTGAATGCCATGGTATCTGCTCTAAGGAGAGGGGCCCAACCGCCCACCCTCGGGTGGAGCTGCAAGCCAGCTGGTCCATCCCCTGTTCTCTTGTCGCCCCAAGTTGAGTCCAACATGAGTGACCTCTGCCACCTAAAGCTGCTGGGCCCAGAGGGTTCTCTGCTCTGGCCTGACTGGGCCCACGGGCCAGGCCAGCAAGGGCTGGCCCTTGCCTCAGCCCCGCCCTGTCTCCCTGTCCCCAGGCTTCAAAGCCGAGTGGCTGGCCGTGAAGGATGAGCATCTGTATGTGGGCGGCCTGGGCAAGGAGTGGACCACCGCCACGGGGGAGGTGCTGAATGAGAACCCGGAGTGGGTGAAGGTGGTGGGCTGCAGAGGCAGCGTGGACCACGAGAACTGGGTGTCCAGCTACAACGCCCTGCGGGCCGCTGCTGGGATCCGGCCGCCAGGTGAGAGCCAGGCCATGGATGGGATCCGGCCGCCAGGTGAGAGCCAGGCCATGGATGGGCACCGCGAGCTTGCCTGTTAGACCACTCGACTGTCTCTGACGGTTGCTCCCACCAGGCCTCTAGGTTCTGGGGCCAGTGAGCCATTTTTGCTTTCACCCAGGCTCGCTCGGCAGGCTCAGACAGTAGCCCCATCCACAGTGTCCTCCTGGGGGCCGCCCCGAGGCCGGGCCTTGCCCCTGACCTGGTGGTGGGAGCAGGTACAAACTTTGCTTCTTTGCCCTCATTTCTGGAAGTTAGGGTTTTTAGTAGGGAGGGGCGGTACCTGGATCGGGCTTGGACACGTGACTGAGGTCACAGCTTCACCTCCTGCTAGGCGGACTTCCATCCTTTTCTGCTTGCAAGGCAGCCTCTCCTACCCACCCTGATCCTCATTCTCAGGTCAGACCTGGTGTTACTTGTGCCACTTCTGGAAGCGCTCTCCTCTGTGCCCTGAGAGGAGCACCAAGGAGGTGGAATACTGACAGACCTTGTGGCCATAGCTACTCAGCAGTGCTGGGGGAGCCAGCAGGGGAGGGCGGCCAGAGAGGCGGCCCAGCAGAGGCTCCTGCGGCCCCGTGGGCTCTGTCCTGCTGGGTTCAGCCACTCTGGACAGATAGACAGCTAAAGAAAAGATGGACAGCGGTGCTGCTCAGGCTCCGGGGCCGCTCGCGGGTCTGCATGCGGGGCAAGGCCGCCCTGGGCCTGGGTCAGGCGGGCTGTGACCGGTCTGTGTGTCCCCAGGCTACCTCATCCACGAGTCCGCCTGCTGGAGCGACACGCTGCAGCGCTGGTTCTTCCTGCCGCGCCGCGCCAGCCACGAGCGCTACAGCGAGAGGGACGACGAGCGTCGGGGCACCAACCTGCTGCTGAGCGCCGCCCAGGACTTTGGGGACATCACCGTGCGGCACGTGGGGGCGGTGGTCCCCACCCACGGCTTCTCCTCTTTCAAGTTCATCCCCAACACCGACGACCAGATCATCGTGGCCCTCAAGTCCGAGGAAGACGGCGGCCAGATCGCCACCTACATCATGGCCTTCACGCTGGACGGACGCTTTCTCCTGCCCGAGACCAAGATCGGCAGTGTGAAGTATGAGGGCATAGAGTTCATCTGAACTGAGAAAAGTCAAGATGACGAGCAAGGCCGAGGGGTGGACAGTTTTAAGCTACGTCAGGACTCAAGTTTTATAAAAAACCCAAGGACTGCACTTTCATGTGATTAGTTTATCTTTCTGTTTTGTTTTGTTTTGTTTTTTTGAACTCTTGAGGTGTGTGCCTGGTTTAGAAATTTCCAGAATTGGGAGCTCAGCCCCAGCCTGAGAATGTGGCTTCTCAGAGGGGAACGGAAGTGGCGGGGTGGTGGGGTATCCCAGAACTACAGGCTGGACATTTCCCTGCGCTGCCACCTGGTGGTTGAAGCTAATCATTGCAGGCATCTTGATTCGGCTCTTTCTTCCATCTGACCTCCTTTTCTTTTCTCTCCATTTCTTCTTCTGTTCAATAAATATTTCTTGAGCTCCTACTGTGTGTCCAGCACTGTGCCCTCTCTGGGAACCCAGCAGTGAGTCTGAAGTGGGGCTGACAGCTTGGCGCTCCTGGGCCACCCCTCATCTCTCCCTTGTGAACCTCAGGCATTAAATTCACCCCTCCAGGCCCCTGGAAAAGAACCTGTTTATACTGCAGGACCTCACAGGGCTGTGAGAGCAAGGTCAGGCCTCCGGGAACACGTCTGCTCAAAGTGCCACAAGAGAGGACACAGGCCCACCGTCTGCCCCCACGTCAAACTTCTCCATTCAAGGGACTGGCCTTGTATTCTGTCTTCAGGAAAATTCTATGTGTGCGTAGCACTTTGAAGTTTTAATTATTAGCTTATATATTAATTAAGTTTCCTTTCTTATAAAATGGAATCGGCAAATCTTATCAAGAGCAAAGTCCTGTATTTAAGAAATTCATTCCCAGCAGTGAAGAAAATGGTAATTAAGAAGTTACAGTTGGTAAGGCAAGTTTTCAAGCATTTCTAAGTCCTTGGCCAAAGGATACAGTGATAAGGATACAATACCTTTTTCTGGCAATTATCAGAAATTGCCATTCCTTGAAAGACTTCTGTGAATGACTTGAATGTGTAATTCCTGAGTCAAGAGGGGCCCCAAGTTCTGGCAAGCCTGCACCTGGCCCCCGACGCCGGGGCTCCCTTACCCTGGAGTTTGTGGACAAGGCCTGCCTGGTCCAGCAGTTTCTGCCCTGGCCTTTTATTTCTCCACTTCCCTGTGGGAGTTCTGCAGCCTTTTCTTTGTAGAAATGTCACAGAAACTTTGGCATGCCTTAGTCCCTGTGGTCTCTTCTCCATACCCCAGGGTAAAGGTGGAGGGTTTCAGACACAGGTCAGCCAGAACCACAGCCTAGAAGGGCCATCACCATCAGCCCATGGTGCCCCTCACCCAGAAGCTACCTCACCTCTCAGGAGAATGTAGGATTTGCGATGGCCAGGAAGTGCCGTGTTTTAGGCTCTGGCTGTTGCCTTGTGAACCCCCGTTTCATAGACTTTTCCCACTTTGGAATTTTAATACAAATGCTTGGAGGGGACCCAGGAAGGATCCCTCTTTCCTGCACTGGTTGTTTCTTCCACTATAAAACGAATGGCAGAAGAACAGAAAACAGGGTTTTGAACAGACATGTCTCTCTAGAACTCAGCTCCCACTGTACACAGTCTGAAGGCCCAAGTCTTTTCTGACTTTGCTTTCCTGGGCTCCCTGACCCACCTCCTTGATAAATATCCACGACATTCAGGGCTGTGTGATATTAAAAATACCAGAGATGAAATTAGGAAGGTTGGAGGACTAGGGATAGTCACTGGGTTGAGATCTAAGACCCAGGTGCCCAGAAGCTCCATTTTCACACAGTCAGTGATTTTCAAGTATTTTAAAGCTAGACTTTACCCCCACCCCCACCCCATTCGCTGCTGTAAGCATAATGATTGTGTTCCTTCCTACTGGAACCATTGTTTTGTAAACAATAAAGTGAATTCTCTTTGTCTCCTGGTCTGTGATGGCTTTTGGCACTGCCCCAGGGGATAGAGAGCCAGTTCACACTGGGGCTCAGAGAAGGGTGCACTTCCTGTGGGGATGTAGAGGGATCCTGGCAAGGAAGGAGCCAGAAGCATTCTTGATGCAGGATGGCCGGGGTGACATGGGAGCTCATGGGATTGGGACCGTGGACCTTTGTGGACTAGAAGCCTTTATGGAAACCAGATCAGCCAGTCCAGGTTGTCCCTAAGCCTGAAGACGCTGTTTTGGTCAGACTGATAAAGAATATAGGTTCTGGTTCCACTCCAGGTTCCAGTCCTGGCTCTGACACTTTGCAACTGTGTGACTGTGGTTGGATCAGCTAACCTCTCTGCTGCTATTTCCTCGCTCGTGAAAGGACAGCGATAATGGAGCTACTTCACAGAGCTGTCATGAACAATATATGAGTTCATACAGATTAGCATCTACTTATCCATTTTCTTGGAGGCTACTAGAAGATTGGTAGTGAGGTGGGCTCCAGCAAGAGGTCTCAACTGGTCCAGATGTCATTAGGTGTCTGATGAGCCTACAGGAACCAACTGGATCATTCTGGAGGACACGGGGGCCCTGAGAGGAAGCCTCAGGAACCTGGAAGGAGGCAGGTGTGGGTCAGGGTGCCCATCCTCCTTCATCCCTTCCCCATCTTTGGCCTCCCCAGAGGTTGACCCAAGTGAGTCTCTGCGCCCCATCAGCACACTCTGGGACTGACCCCCGGCCAGCAGGAAGCAGTGGGGCAAGCTGGGAGGCCCTGACTCCCTCCCCAGGGCTGCCTACCTCCTGCACCATCTCCAGGAACTACTTCTGGCCTGGGAGTGGCCAGAACTCCAGATACCAGCTGCACCTGCTCACTCACACCTTGTAAATAGCTCCCCCGTCTTTAACGCTTCCTTAGAGTATCCCAATCCAGGGCCACCTGCTGCAAGCCTGACCAGGACAGCCAGGGAGGAGAGTCAACCGTCAAAACCCTGCAGGCGTCAAGTAAGGAGGTCGAGTGTTTCCAGGGGCCCAGCATTGAGGAAGCGATCCTCATGAGAACAGTCCCAGGATGGGAGGTGGGGGGCCAGAGCACATCGAGCAAGGAGGGGGACAGGGTGAGCAACTGCACGTGGAGGAGGAAGGCACAGAAAATCGGCTCTTGACTGTGTCTTAAGCAGCTGCGATACCCTGGGCTCCAAGTAACTTGCGCCTGCCTAGCACTCATGCTTGCAACTCATCAGTGTTAGTCGCTCAGTCGTGTCTGACTCTTTGTGACCCCATAGACATAGCCCACCAGATTCCTCTGTCCATGGGATTCTCCAGGCAAGAATACTGGAGTGGGTTGCCATTTCCTTCTCCAATTCATTAGCAAAAAAGAAATTCCGAAAAGTCATCTCAAAAACTAGGTGAAAGAAAATGAGATTAATTTCTTTCCAAATGTTAATCCTGTCTTCTTTGTGCACTTCAAACTGGTAAATTATACCTTAATAAAACCATTAATAGATTTGGATAAAGCAAAAATAAAATACCTTCATACAAAGAAAATTCCAAGGCCAAATGATTTTATTGGTAAATTGTGTCTTAGACATTTAAGGAAGAAGTCATAAGGAGCCAACACAAAATCTTCCATAATTTTGGGACCTGGGAACACCCTCAATTCATTCTGTGAGGGCATCACTGCCCTGATACCAAAACCAGACAAATACAAGAGAAGAAAAATACAAACCCTCATGAACATAGAAGCAAAAATCCTTGACAGAAATTTAGCCAGTTGAATACAATGTCATGTAAAATGGACAATACTTCATGACAAACTATGATTTATTCCAGGAACGCAGGGTTGGTTTAATATTCTAAAATACACATAATCCACCATATTTAACAGATGAAGAAGGTAAAACTGTATGATAATCTCAAAAGACAGAGAAAAAAAATCTGATGGAATCCAATACACACTGATGATTTAAAAGCAAAGAGAGACTTACCTGGTGGTCCAGTGGTTGACTCCAGGCTTCTGCTACAGGGACATGGGTTCAATCCCTGGTTTCAGAACTAAGATCTGGCGTGGTGCGTGGCCAAAAAAAAAGTATTTGTTAAACACAGAATATATTTTCTGAACATTTGTAATAATAAAAATGAATTTTCTTAATAATTTAAATATTTTTTAAATAAATACAAGCGGGGGAAAAAAAAACCTCTTTGCAAACTAGAAATAAAAGGAACTTCTTTAAGCTGGTAAAGAGTGTGAAAAAAACCTTTAGCTAACATAATACTTCACAGCAAAAGACTTTCCTTTGAAGGCTGGGAACAAGGCAAGGATGTCAACATTCACCACTTTTTCCCCCTACCACTTAACTTTTTATTTTGAAATCATTTTAAGCCACAAAGAAGTTGCCAAACTAGAATTAGTGTTGCTGTGTTCGCTTCATTCTGTTACACAACCACAGCTCCGTGATCAAACTAGGAAACTGGCAATATGCTCGTCACTTTCCTTCACCCACCATCCTATATGAGGTCCCAGACAGTGCAACTAGGCAAGAAAAAGGAGACTCTTTGGATTGGGAAAGAAAGGGTAAAACTATCTTTTTTCACCAAGGACAAGTTCAACTAGATAGGAAAACCCTAAGGACTCTTCAAAAAATACCTGACAGCTGAGTTTAGCAGAGCTGAAGGATACACAGTTCACATACAGAAATTGGTTTTATTTCTGTGCAGTGAACAACTGGAGATTTTTTGAGACAGCAGCATTTATAATAGCACCCCAAAACGTGAATCAGATAAAAGTCTAACAAAATATGTACAAGATCTATATGCTGAGAGTATAAAATCCTGACAACTGACAATACCAAGTATTGGTGAGCATTTAACACCACTGAAACAGTAATAGGAATTGCCAGTAGGGACGAAAAAATGGGTTCAGCCACTTTGGAAATTTGACAGTTTCTTAAGAAGTTAAACATACACCGACCATAGGACCCAGTAATCCTGTCCCTCCACAAAAGAAATAAAAACTGATGTTCACACAAAGACTTGTCTCCAAATGTTCTTAACAGTTTTATGTGTAATACAGTAGCCCCCCGACCCCTGTATTTCAGAAGATACTTTCCAAGACTCCACTGGATGCCTGAAACTGTTCAGTTCAGTTCAGCTCAGTTGCTCAGTGGTGTCCGACTCTTTGTGAACCGTAGCACACCAGGCCTCCCTGTCCATCACCAGCTCCCAAAGTCTACCCAAGCCCATGTCCATTGAGTTGGTGATGCCATCCAACCATCTCATCCTCTGTCATCCCCTTCTCCTCCTGCCCTCAATCTTTCCCANGACAATATACAGCCTTGACATGCTCCTTTTCCTATTTGAAGTCAGTCTGTTGTTCCATGTCCAGTTCTAACTGTTGCTTCCTGACCTGTATACAGGTTTCTCAAGAGGCAGGTCAGGTGGTCTGGTGTTCCCATCTCTTTCAGAATTTTCCACAGTTTATTGTGATCCACACAGTAGGAGTAAGCAGATCACCAGTTGCCAGGGTTGGGGGTTGGTAGAGGAGATTGTCAGCAAAGGGCCTAAGAGAACATTGAAGGATGATAAGAATGTTCTCTTTGTTACGGTTGTCATGGTTACCATCTGTATACATTTGCCAAAGCTCATTAAATTGATACACTTTATTGTATGTAAATTATCAGATCTCAAGTCAGTTTTTTGAAAAAGTGGTTGACATGCCAACAGTCCCCCTTCTCGGCTGTGTAACTAGGTGGGTTTCCCCTCTCTGCACCTCTGTTTTCTCATCTATTAAAGAGTTAATAAGAGGACTTCCCTGGTGGTCCAGTGGTTAAGAATCTGCCTGCCAATTCAGGGAACACGGGTTCGATCCCTGGTCTGGGAAGATTCCACATGCTTCGGGGCAACTGAGCCTGTGTGCCTAGAGCCTGCGCTCTTCAGCAAGAGAAGCCAGCACCCTGAGAAGCCCATGAGGACCACCAGCGAGGAGCCCCTGCTCCCTGCAGTTAGAGAAAGCAACGAAGACCCAACGCAGCAAAAGTAATACATAAAATTTTTAAGAAAGAGTTAATAAGAGTTCCTTGGGAGAAAAGCCATGGCAGCGTTCTAAAACCTAGACAGCAGACACATCATTTTGCCGACAAAGGTCCATATAGTCAAAGCTATTGTTTTTCCAGTAGTCATGTATGGATGTGAGAGTTGGACCATAAGGCTGAGTGCAAAGAATCGATGTTTTCTAACTGAGGTGCTAGGAAGACTCTTGAGAGCCCCTTGAACGGCAAGGAGATTGAAGCAGTCAGTCCTAAAGGAAATCAACCCTGAATATTCATTGGAAGTACTGATGCTGAAGCTGAAGCTCCCAACACTTTGAACACCTGATGCAAAGAGCCGACTCATTGGAAAAGACCCTGATGCTGGGAAAGATTGAAGGCAGGAGGAGAAAGGGGTGGCAGAGGATGAGATGGTTGGATGGCATCACCGATACAATGGATGAGTTTGAGCAAACTCTGGCAGACGGCGAAGGACAGGGAAGCCTGGCGTGCTGCAGTCCTTGGGGTCGCAAAGAGTCAGACACGACTGAGCGACTGAACAACAGCAATTTCCTGTAGAGGCTGGGAGTATTGAATGGGTCCCATCAAAGATTATAGCAGTGCCAGCTATCTCTACGTTGGCGTCACAGGCAGCGTTCCTCTGTTTGGTGGAGCGGGAGAGGAGGCACAAAAGAAAGTTTACAGGCTTCATACGGGCTCTGGTCTCTGACAGACCCCAGCACACTCCTGACTGCATCGGCTGTGGGCACCTGCGTCCACATGGTCCCCACCGGCCGGATTATCTGCGGAGCCAAGGCTTTCACGGATGGTCTCCTTATCACAGCTTAGTCACTCCTCTCTGGAGCAGATGGCCTCAGTTCCTGATCCAGTTCCCTTAATGGGCGGAAGACTGGAAAGGCTCTGAGAGCCGGAAGGGAACAGACACCCCAGCTTTGACCCCATGCCCTTCGGC